GAGCCGGAACCAGCTGCACGCAGCAGATTTCGCACGGCAGGTTCGTGCCGTGCCGACCTCGGCGTTGGTTCCTGACTCCGCGGGGATAGTTCCACCTTGAACGATCGGCCGTTTCCGAAACGTCAGATCGTTCAACATCGACCAATTCTGGGTCGCCGGGGGCGGTCAACGTTGAACGCTGGCGGCGGGGTCGCCGCTGGTCGACACGACGTGGACCTACCGTACCCCCCCTCCCTCTCCCAAATCCCCCCCCCCATTCCCTCCAGCGCGGCAGCAGCAGCACGGCCGGCGAGGCAGCCGAGCGAGACGCGGCCGCGGCAGCTGCCTGGTTCGCCTCCGCCTCCGCCACCGCCGCCGCTCGGGCGTCGCGGCCGTACACCCTGGGAGCCGCCCGCCATCGCTGTCGCCGTCGGCTGCGTCGCCGTCGGCGTCGCCGTCGCCGTCGCCGCGCGCGAGGGGCTCGGAGGGCGCCGACCCCTCCGGGGGCGCCGCCCAAAGGACCCAGCCCGGTCCAGGCCGACGCGCGACGGAGCGCCTGGGGAGCTTCTCTGGCGAGGCGGGGGCCCTCTTAGCGGGGCAGGGATCAGCCAGCGTCGGACCGGGAAATCGGACATCGGCTCGGAGCATGTGCGCCAGAGGGGGGCGCAGCGGCACGGAGGCGAGGGGCGAACCGCATCGGCCGCGCCAATGTGTACACGACGGCGCCGTGCAGGCCTCGGGCCGCCATCGGGCCCGGAACACCGACACCGGACCGGATCGGGCCAACCGGAGCCGACGCTAAGCACGGATCGGTCGGATCGAGATGGAACCCGCAGGGCTCGCCTTCCGGGAGGCCTCCGAGGAATCCACCTCCTCCTCCTCCTACTCTATATGATCCTCCCCTTCCCCCTCCTCCTCCTCCTCCTCCCCCTCCTCCTCCTCCTCCTCCTCCTCCTCCTCCTCCTCCTCCTCCTCCTCCTCCTCCTCCTCCTCCTCCTCCCCTTTCCTCCTCCCCTTTCCTCCTCCACTCAGCGGGCGGGAGGAACTCTCGGGCCAGAAGGCCGGCCGCCCAGCTCGCACCCCTCCGACCCCGGCCTGGCCACGTCCTGCTCGCTCGCGCCGGTCGCGGACCCCGCGCGCCTCTGCCGCGGTTTCTCGCGCGCCGCCTCTGCTCTGCTTGTCACCAGCAGCGCCTGCGTCCACCAGTGCACGGTCTCGGCCACCCGGACGCGCTGGTGCCATGGTCCGTTGGCCGCCCCAGTGCAGGGCACAGGAGACGTCGGCGTGTCCACCGCCCAGGGAACCAACCTCGCGGGGCCCCAGAAGGCGGTGGATGCGGTTGGGCCCCAGGGGGCCGGGAGGAGAAAAGATCCCGCGCCTCCCGAGATCCAAAAAGATCGGCCCCCCAGGTGGAGGATACGCGAAAGTCCCGGCCTCAGGGGCCAGGGAGCGAGCAAACATCACCTCCCCCTCCAGAAGCCAAGCGACAGCAACTGCCGTGCAGCTCGCCATCGCTCGGACGTCCATTCTCCGTGCAACTTTCGGCTTCGTGCGCTTATTTGTCACAAGATGATCCAGGGTGCCCCTCGATGGTCCTCGCCGAAGAAAGATGCACACGCCCGAGCGATGTAAAGGCAGAGGTAGCCGATGTGATCTGCAGTTCGAGTGGGGAATCGACTACAGAATTGATGTACCCCAAATTTGATTCGCTCGTGGAATCTACTAACATTGGGTGCAGTGTTCGCAGATCTACGAACATTACACGTATTTGTGCACACTCGACGAGAAAATCAAGCTTGAAATGAATCAAGTTTGAAGTCGATCCCCAACTCGAGCAGTGCATCTGCCCCTGCTCGGCTGCTCCTGGGCCTCACCACGGACCCCTGGGGCGGCCCACGGACCGTGGGCGCTGGTGCGCGCGCATCTCCTGCAGGACGACCTGTGGGGAATGATGGGCCAGTTTTCCACCACCGCTACCATGTGTAGGACGGGGAAGCCGGGAGGATCCTCCTCCTTCTCCTCCTCCCTCTCCTACCTATGGCAGTGGTGGTGGAAATTCGGCCCACCAGGGAAATCAAAGAGGCACCACAGGTTCGTGTCTTGACGATCCTGGCGCTGGTTTTTGACAACGCGTGGCCAGAAAAGTCAGATCGTTCCATATCGACGGGTTCTGGGTCGCCGCCGGCGTTCAACGTTGAACGCCGCCGACGGGGTCGCCGCCAGTCGACACGACGCGAAACTGCCGTACCGATGCCGCTACTCCCCCGGACCTCTCCCAGGGTGCGTTCTGGCCATGACTTCGAGGCGGATTCGGCCGTGCGATGAGGGCCTCCAGGAGGCCCGAAAACATGAAAAACGGGTGGTGACATCCGAACCCTACCCCCACCAACCATGGATTCTCTCGAACCGATGGGAGGCGGGGGAGGGTCGGGTTCGGATTTCGCCACGCGTTCGACGAATTGCGAGCATTCACCCCGCCGCCCATCGAGTGGCCTGAATCGCTGATCGGCGAGGGTAGGGTTCGGATTTCGCCGCCGAGGAAGAAACTGCACAAACAGAGAGGTTCGGCGACGGGCCCCCTGCTGGCGTTGCCTCCGGCGCCGCTCCTGGCGCGCTCCAGGAGCGGCGGGAGCGACGACGGCGACGGCGACGGCGACGGGGACGGCGACGGCAGCGGCGACGGCATTGAGGGCGACGGCGGCGGCGACAGTGGCGAAGGCCAGCTCTTCCTAGCCAACCTCGAGCTCATCGCCAACCCAGGCTCGAGCCGGTTGACAGTCTTGGGGATGCGCCCGCAGACGCCGAGAGAATCCTCCATCGGAACTCCGAAGAAGAGGACCGGGAATAGGGGGCTAGCGCACTCTGCCCGCGGAGCGCGCCAGGGGCGGCGCTGGAGGCGCCGCCAGGTGGGTCCCAGCGCAGACCTAGCATGGGGAAACGGGTCCTTACTCAGGACCCGTTTTTGCACCGTTTCCCAAAAAATGTCTTTTGAAAATGGAAACGGCAAAAAAACGGCGACAGGAAACGGCAACAAAACGGCTCCAGGATTGGAAGCGGAGCCGGAACCGGAGCCGGAAAGCGGCGGCGGAAACCGTAAAAAGACGGCGTCGGAACCGGCAGCAAAAACGGCAACACGGAACCGGTAAAAAAAAACGGCCCTGTCGTTTCCAGGGCCCACTGAGGTCCTGAGGGAGAAGGGTCCTGGACCCCGGGGCTTTCTCCCAAGACACAATCTGCACCCTGAGCCCGAAATAACTACCGGTGACAAGCACCTCGGGGCCCGCTCCCTCCAGGGCCCGCCGCCCCCCTTGGCGACCAGCGCAGCTCCAGAACACGGGGCGACGAACACTGGCATGAACACAAAAACTCGGAAAGGGCCCTGGGACACACAAATAAATCCACACAAATAAAAAGATTCCAATATTTTGGGGCTTTTCCAAATTTTCTATATTTTCCAAGATGTTTTTTTTTGTCTTCCCCCCACTTCCCATATTTTCCAATATTGTCTGGGGAGTCGACGATTCATTGTGTCAGTGTGTTTCTTTCCCTCCTGAAACTCGTAGGTTCGCGCGGACTCCTCGGATCGGCACTGGACCCCCTTGTCGGCGCCTCCGGCGCCGCCCCTGGCGCGGTCCGCGCCGGATCCGAGAAGTCCGCGCGGACCTCCGAGCTGTTGTGTTATTCTGCCATTGTTCGCCCCCCCCCAGGAAAAAGGCGTCCGGAGCTCCGCAACTCGTGCCAGCTGCTTCCCCTCCTGGCACGGCCTGCCGCCGCTCGGCGGCGCCCGGCCCCACCAGCAGGCGCTGCAGGCCCTGCCAGCACGGCGGCGCGATCTGTACGTCTCCACCGCCGCTGGCCAGGCATGGGTCTCCACGAGCGATGTCGATGCCGCCCTGGCCAAGCCAGGAGGCGCATGCACTCAAAAAATTAAGGGCTCGCTCGGGACCGGCTTCCTCCCCCAAACGACGGGAGCCCTACCGAAAGCCTCGCGGAACCCTCCAGGAGGATTTCTGGGTGGTTTCGGAAGGGTTGCCTCCATGTTGGAAAGAGCGGCCCCTCGCGAAACCTGAACTTTCGAAGTACAAGCCGCTCCTGGGCCCAGCATGAGCCTGGCCAGCGGCGATAACGCCACGCCCAGATCTCGCCGCCCTGCCTCCAGCAGCTCGGCGACGCCCCCGAAGCGCTGCAGGCCCGGCAGCAGCGCGTAGTCCGTGTGCGCGTGCCAGAAGCGGTAGGCCTCCAGGTCCGCCACGCACGCCACGCCCGCGGCGCGTGCGTCGGGGGCGTCTGGACGACGGCCCCCTCCGAGGCCCTCCCGGGCCAATCGCGGGCCGATCGCGGGCCCCTCGCAGGCACCCGGCGGCCCCTCGGAGGGCTCCTCGGAGGCGCTCGGAGGCCCTCCGCGGCCCTCGCAGGCCCTCTCGAGGGCCCTGGGCGGCCGCGGAAGGACCCCCCTCCAGGAGCCCCTCTCGGAGGCCCCGGCCGCGGCGCCGTGCTCGGAGGCCCTGGGCGGCAGGAGGCCCCTCGGAGGCCCGGCCGCGGCGCCGCGCTGCGGAGGGCTCTGGCGGAGGGGTGCGCGGCAGAGCCCCCTTGGGCACAGGCCGCCAGCGCGGGTGGCCCCAGGCCCCAGAAATAAGGGTTGGGGCCTAATTCCGACGGAGGCCAGAAGGTGCCCCTACCGGTACTCGCTGGACCTCTCCTGGGGGCGCGTCCTGACCAGGACTCCTCGAGGCGAGTCCAGAGGTGGTGACGAGGGCCCCCCCGGGAGGCCCGAGAAGGAGAAAACGAAGGGAGGGTAGCGGTGTGGGTACCTTGTCCTCCCCTGAGTGTTACCATGTAATCCAGACTCTGGCGCGCCCTCGAGAGCTGCCGCTGCAGTCTGCGGGGTGCTGGTCTGCGGTGTCCTTGCGTCCGGGGCGCTGAGCCCCTCCCGCTCCCCGTGGCCCTACAGTGGAGGCCCGACCACGAGAAGCCTTCCACTAGAAACCCAGCCCTGAGACCCCAGGACGTCCATTCATTTT